TTGCTCTCCACACTACCTCAAACCTTTCCAAAGCCTGCCCAAGTGTTTTAACACATTATCTTACTCTGTTTTGTGTTACTATCACAGAATTATCTGAGACTGTGTAATTTACGAAGAAAGGAGGTTTACTTGGCCCACAATTTTGGTGGCTAGAAGGTTCAAGACTGGGCAGTGGCATGTGGCAAGGGTCTCAGGCTGCTTCAACTCACGGTAGAAAGTGGAAGGGGAGTGGGTGTGTGCAGAGAGATCACACAGCAAGAGAGGAAGCAAGAGACACTGAGGAAGCTGGACTCTTAACAATCTGCTCTCCACTCCTGCCAGAGCAAGAATTCATCTCTACAGGAGGGCATTCATCTATTCATGAGGATCTGCCCCAGTGACCCAAGCACCTCCCACCATGCCCCACCTCCAATATCGCCACACTGGGGATCAAATGTCACTATGAGTTTCGGTGGGGATGAGCTATACCCTAACCACGGCGCACCTGAAGCCGACCTTTATTTCATTCTCATTTCTTACATTCCACTCAGGCCTGCAAAGCCTATTGGTCTAACTTGGCTCAGTTAATGATTAAATAAATGTTTACAGAGAATTACAAGGGTTTGGTTCCCTATTTGGTTGTGTGGGAGCTGTAAGGATAAAAGAGAGGGCTTCAAAGGGCTCTCAATCCTATAGCAAGGATAAGATGGCTACATAATACCAGGGATAAAGGCGAAGTAAAACCACTCCCTGGCAGCAGAGGATGGCAGGCGATGTGGGCAGTGCTGCTCCACGATTCATGAATGTTTCATGTGATAATGACAAACAATTGACTTCTTCTGTTATACATTTTTCAACTTATTTTGATTTTTGGCTGGCTGTCTTTTTATATATTTTTTTTCTTTATCTTTTAGAGACAGGGTCTTGCTCTGTTGCCTAAGCTGGAGTGTAGTTGCAGTGGTGTGATCATAGCTCACTGTAGCCTTGAACTTCTGGGCTCAGGCAATCTTCTCACCTCAGCATCCTGAGTAGCTAGAACAACAGGTGTGCACCATATCCAGCTTAAAAAATATTTTTTTTGTAGAGGTGGGGTTGTATTATGTTGCCTAGACTGGTCTTGAACTCCTAGGTTCAAGTGATATGCCTTGGGCTCCCAAGCACATGGATTACAGGTGTGAGCCACCGTGACAATCTTATATTAATTCTTATGTGTGGATGCTTTTGATTAAGTAGAGTACCTAAATTTATAGCTCTTCAGTGTCCACAAGGAGGTGGTGGGTGTTGTGATTTCAGAGAGTCCTAATAACATTATTGCCATTATTAGTCTCGCTATACATGTGATTCTTGTCAAAAAAATACAGTAATTCTTCCTCACACATCATCAATGACAAGCTAAACTGACCACAAAGGCCTTTATGGTTTCAAGCAACATAAGCAACATGGGGTGGTGATGACCATTTCTGGGCACCCATAAGAGAAAAACAGCTGCGGAGCCTCCCTTCGTCTCTTCCTTTTAGACACCACCACCACTATATAAATGAAAAAAGTGGCTCGTGCCTATAATTCCACCACTTTGGGAGGCTCAGGCAAGAGGACTGCTTGAGGCCAGAAGTTTAAGACCAGCCTGGGCAATGTAGCAAGACTCTGTCTCTATAAAAAAATAATAATAATTTTAAAGTGTGGTTGTTTACACTGGGTTAATCACTGTGTAATGGATACCTGAAAGTAACATACAGAGAGGACCCTCTTTCTCAGGAGAAATATAACATCAGAAGTGACATTTCGAAGATAATTAAAAATTTACAAAGTCAAGACATTTCAGTAAAGAAAGACTATGAGAGGAATTCTCAGTACTTCAAAGAGTCTAGGCCCCTTGAAAAAAAATCTAAGGCCTGGTTTCTTTAAGGGTCAGACGCAGTCAGGAATGTAAGATGCTAGTTTTGTTTAGGGTTGTCAGATCGACATTAATTGCAATGCCCATTTTGCTTATGAGGACCCTCTCACCTATTGGCATTCCGGGCACCTTGCAATAATCCTGCAATAAAACCAATTAAAATCTCATTAAAAGATAAAGCCTAAAACTATGCCAATAAATGCTTAATACACTTTAAATACACTCATTTTGCCTCATTCTTGGAAGGTATAAAATGGAAAAGAATGGTGTGAATGTTGCAAAGGCTATTGAGGACAGTACCAATCTCAGGAGGTCAGCCTGGAAAACACAATTAAGTTAGTAAAATGTGCCCAGACTTGTCAAATTTCCAGGTCTGGTTTCCATCAGTACTGTATTTGAGGGATTTCCTACGTTTTACGTGAAACTCTGTTTCTACCTGTAATAAAGTAAGAGAGATATTTCTGAGATAAATATGTATTGAAAAATACATAAAATGTCATGATCGGCAAGCTGAAATGTCACTTTCAAAACTCTATCCTTTAATCCAATTCATAGCACATATGTTTCACCAGAAAGCGTGGAATTTGCTCTGTGAACATCTTTTACGGAAAGAAGTTACATTTTAAGCATGAAACTTAAGGACGACTTGCAGGAACAGAGCTGACCCATCAAAAATTTTGAAGAGTTCCAACTCCATGGATTATAAAAATGCCTTTTAGTTACACTCTTCAGAAGTATATAAACACAGGCTTAACTTCTATCCTTTCTGTATGTTTGTAGGACTGTAAGAGTTAAGAATCTTCTAAGGAAAGCCATATTTCCTTTAATCAAAAAAAAAAAAAAAAAGAAGTGAATTATACTCACAGTTAAATGAGTATTTAGCAAAGAAGAGAAGTGTATGTGTCATGCATGCACATGGGTGGGTGGAGGAGGGTATATTTAAAAAGAATACCTAAAATACTGCTAGCATCCAAAAATTCACAATAGTTATCATTGGGTGGTGACGTCTGTGGCTTGCATTTGCTTTTCTGTATTGTATATACTTTTGGCATTAAATATGTAGCAGTTAGTATTTAGAAAAATATTTTCTCTATAAAAATAAATGAATGGGTATTAGAAATATAAAGAAAGTAGCTGACCAAATATATTTGATTGGTTCCAGAGAAAAGAAAAGAAAATATTCAAGTCAGTTGGTTGACATCCATTTCTACCATCAGCTGCATTCCCTCATTTGGGCACAGCCGATGGTCTAAGATGGCGCCACAACATTCTTGATGTCCTGCCTTCCAGTTCAATATTTGTATGCAAATATTTAAGAAACATGCACGAAACTGAGCAAGTGGGATATACCACTTTAACAGTAAGCATTCATAATGCTATTTGTACGACTACCTGCAGAGAATAACACTGGATGATCTCTTTGGAAATTTTATAAATGGAACACTGTCAAATTTCTAAGCAACATTTTAGACAGTAAATGTGTTGCTTGGATTTTAGCTGTCTTAAACACTGCAAGCGGCTTAACCTTATCTCCTAGTGCCACTGCCTTCCTGGAGTAATTGATGCTTGGAGTCCCCAATTTCACATAAACCAGGACACTGTGTTATTGTATACAGCAATCTGACTGCTGGCAGAGACAGGAAACTGCACTGAACCCAGATCAATAGACACGTCAACAGTAAGCTGGTTAATCTAATTCAGCCTATCTCATCTCAGGGCACAGAGTTTGCAGTTTTGCTGCTGGGTCCCTCTGGCAGGAAATGGTTTGGAAAGTTTAGTCTTAAGAAGTTTAAGTGATATGCTTATCCTTCAGGCTCTTGAATGTTTATTCAGCAGAATAGCTGCTTTAAATGTTTTATAAATGGCAGTAATGTAAACAAGGCATGTCTGACTTCCCTCACATGTGAAAACTATAATGGTGATTTCCTTGACTATGGACATAGAGATTAACACTACAGCCAATTACACTTTAGAGGAAATTGCTTGGGTCCACATTTCGAGCTAATGCCATCTTTAAACTCTGTCCCCATCCCCATCCTCATTGAATGGCATTCTTCTGAGAAAAAGAAATGCTTTGTTTTACATAAACATTTGTCTCTTTAACTATATTATACAAATGATATAGTATGGGTATAGTACACTTCTTTGGGTATGAAACCTCAAATGAATATCCATCAAAGCATGATTCTTATTCCTTGGAATAGTGTGATAGTGTGGGTGCTAGGAAACAGTGGGTTGGAATGAAAAAGAGTGTAAAATCCAGTAATTCTGGTCCTGCCTTAGACATCATCATTTTGGCGGGAGGACATCCACCTCACCGCTTCCCTGTCCCTGCGTGCTCTCACTTGCTTGCTCTTGTGCTGTCTCTGTCTCTCTCCAGGAAGGGAGAACTAGATCGTACGCGTCATCACTTGGAAGATAGAGAATGTTAAACACCTGATACTGCCCACAGCTTTGGTGCAAATTGTCCTTGAATTATCAAAAAAGGAAGGGTACATATCATTTTCTACCCTTTTAAAAACACTCCCTTCGTCCAAGTCTTAATATTTGGATGAGCCTTTGGAAAGCTAATTCATAATCACTGTCATCCTTAAAATGACTGTTACAGAGGTGTAAAAGGTGGTGCAATCCCACTTCATGGGTAAGGAAATCTTGGAGCAGACAACAGACTAGAGGGATAGATGGGCACGGAACCATAGTGGTGGCATGCACTCAGACAAGGTAGTGCATGAGGAGGAGCACTGCAGTCTTGAAGTTCAAAGGCAGTCATGCATGACTGTGACCTAAGGGTGAGATGCTCTTGGATTTTGAGTCGTGGGATATCTATTCAGCTCATGTTTATTGAATTCCTATTGCAAGTCAGGCTTTGTTCTAGGTACTAGGAACACAATGGTGAACAAGACAGGTAGGATTCCTCCCTCTGGGATTCTAAAGAGGGAGGAAGGCAGCAAAAAGGTACATAAATAATACAGTTTCAGATATTGATGGGTACCTTAAAAAATACAACAAAGTCATGAAGAGTGCGGGTGGGAACTGGACACACTGGGTGGCAGGAGCTGGCCTCTGAAGACGTGACATCTGGGCCCATGTTTGTGACTGATGCCATAATACTATCTCCCTTCCACAGGTACCTCCTGCACACCCCTATATCCCTGAAACATCACTCAAGGAGGAGATTCTAGACAAGGAAGGAACACCATGCACACCTGACTGCTGGTATTTTAACCTTCAAATGCTTGTACTTTCCAAATTACGTTCTGAATCTCAGGACTTCTCAACCCAGTAAACTCTATTCTGGAAAATTCTATGGAAGGCACATGACATCTTTTCATCTTAGTATAGGAGCTGGCACACAGGACCACACTTGGTGCTCCATCAGTTTGCTGGATGAATAAATTAATAAATAGGACCAGAAAAATCTCATAAGCAACTTCTATTAACTAACCATCATGAAAAAGTAAGCTAGAGATGATCACCCTGAAGCTGTGAGTCAAGAGCGTACCATTACAGCAGACTAGCTTCTACTATCTCTAAGTACCATGTACAGCAGACTAGCTTCTACCCTCTCCGTCCCCATCCAGCCTTCCACAAACCTCCTCAATCCTGAGATGGGCCCAAGTAACAGACTCACTACTTAGCAAATCACTGGTAAAACTGGGAAGGGCGGGAAAGACTTTGCCATTTGGGGCACTTCTCCAAGGGAAAAACAATTTCTTTTTTAAAGTTTTAAAACTTATTTTAAAGAAGTTGGTGACAACAATGAAGAAGCTGGAAGAGGAACAAAAAAAGAAGAATCAGCCATAAGTGGAAAGATGGACTGGAGAGAACATGGAGGGCATGGGAGATGGGAGATGCGAGATGGCACGGGGTGAGGGATATCACAGGGGGTTGGGCATGCAGGACCAGAAAGAGGAAGAGAAAGCGTGAAAACCTGACTATTCTGTAATCAGTGGCACCTGAAAATAATAGAGCATAAAGGTATTTTAAGATCAGGTCCGCTTCTGGAAATGAATTGAGGGCTCCTCTGCTTAACCTAAACGAGCCAAACTTTCTAACGCAGTGAGGAAGCCTAACCAAATTTGGTCTTAGTGGGAAGCTCGCAGATTCAGGGAAGCATTCAAGAAATTGTCGAAGACCTGAAAATAGGCTGGGTGTGATGGCTCACAGAGCTTTGGGAGGCTGAAGTGGAAGAATTGCTTGAGGCCAGGGGTTCAAGACTGGCCTGGGCAATATAGTGATACTGCCCACAGCTTTGGTGCAAATTGTCCTTGAATTATCAAAAAAGGAATGGTACATATCATTTTTTACCCTTGTAAAAACGCTCCTTTCATCCAAGTCTCAATACTTGGATAAGTCTTTGGAAAGGCTAATTCCTTAAAAAATTTAATTAGCTGGACCCAAAATTTTTTTAATTAGCTGGACATGGTGGTGTGTTCCTGTAGCCCCAGCTCCTCGGGAGGCTGAAGTGGAGGCTGGCTTGAACACAGGAAGTAGAGGTTGCAGAGGGCTATGATTTTATGTCAGTGTTGGTGTCCACTAAGGATCCTGAGAGGTAACATTCAGGGATGTTAGTGAGATTTAACAAGGATGTACTGAGAGCCCAAGTGCAGGAGGCGGAACTGGGGAATGTGGGGGGGAGAAGGGGACATGTGGCCAATTTCCATTTCCGGTCTTCTGGGGCCTCATCCCACGGCTATGCTAATGAGGCCACTGCTGATCAAATATTTAGGTGACAGAGTGCCAGTCCTAACAAGTTTTGATTGGCAGGGGCCTGAATTTCACTATTTTAAGATAGATGTTTATCAGATTTCCATGTTTAACCTAACTTTTATTTATCTAAAAAATATGGTGGCAAGCTAGGATGAATGCTGAGAAATTTTTCTGTCTTCTAGTGAGCATTCAGAATAACACCAAAAACCAGACAAGAGAGACAGTAACAAGCAAAACTGTAAAAAAGGAATGGTCAGCATGGTCAAGGGAGACCGTCACAAGTGATGCTCTACCCAGCCTGAGAGCACATTAGCGGGAACACTCACCAAGTGAGTATCAGAAACACAGGATGGAACTGACATCAGAAAAGACAGAAACTCCAGGCACATGCCTCCCAGGCCAGAAGAGCTATTCTCAGTGCTGAGAGATAAGGAAACAGACTCAAGGTCACAGGACTGGTGAGCGGCAGAGCCAGGTTTCTAACTCGAGAGGCTTTCCCAAAACTCCTTTGGGTTTCCTCATACAGCTGCCCAAGGTATGCACTACGAAATGCCATGACTAAGTGGGCACCATTCACACCGCAGACAATGTCAATCTGTAATCGTGGTACAATTTTGTGGCCAGTGACAATAAGTATCTCATTTTAATAAAATGCCACACAGAGAGGAAATGAAGTGTTTGGTGGAAGGCATGCCTTTTCTAACTGGTGCAAAAGTGTCATATTGGCCAGCGACAGCCCTGACTACAGGTTTATCCAATTCAGAAGATGGAGGTGTAAAACTGGGCCAGGGAACACAGAGGAAGTTTAGGTTGCTGGAGTTCTCACTGAACCTCAGCTCTCTGAGGCGTGCATTCCAAGTCCATCAACCAACACCAAATCAATAGTTCAAATCATCACCAGATTTCCGGACGGGCCAAAAGTAGCCATAGTATTCAAAGGCCTAGAGCAGGAAGAAGAACTCACTTTAAATGTTCACACTAAAGGTCAAAATCCATTAAAGGCCACTTTTGCAGCTGGGTCTGTCTACTTTATGTCAAAATCAAAATGCAAGAATCTAGTAACCCATTTTCTGGATTTCTACATAATTTCTACAGCCTCCCTCTGTTTTCAAGGCCAGTCATACAAGGCAGCCTTCAGAGGCTGATCCAACTGCAGCAGAGGGGCCGGGCAGGACTTAGAGTTGCAGAGAACACCTGAAACACTGAGAAACAAAATACTGACAAACTCCATTTGCAGAAAGAAAATAACTCTAGGAAAAAAAACGGTTCCATTTATTATGGCATGTATTTTTTAATTAAAGAAGGTGCCCCCACAAAATATGCCATCAGCTCTTCCACTGTAGCTGGGGTATGCACCCCCCCATCCTAATTAGAAAACAAAGCACACCTTCAGGCACCTGGTGATTTTTCTATGCAATGGCATAGTAGAATGTTCAATAGGGATTGTTTTAATAGGGCTGGTAATGAGATCTGGGTGAAAAATCTCTCTGTTAATTTAGCAGGCCTCCTGAGATGTAAAAATTCTAGTTTGCAGGTGTTTTGAAGTTCCTCGCAAAGCCTAACCTCAGCCTGCCCCCTAGTTTTGACATTAGGATTTAAATATCACCTGTAAATCTCTTAGTCATTTTGTCCCCATCAAAAATCACTTCTAGTCTCTTCTTGCCCCTCCACTAGTGTGAGTCTATTTTGATTTGCCCAGTACTAACTAAAATGCTACTAAATCTGGCACTATACTAATCTATGAATTTTGAAAGCCAGCCTCTACAGAGTGCAAACCCTAAGATCATCCAATCAAAGGCAAGGCGACCTCAATGGCCAGGATCAACTCAAGCAGCTGCTGTCGTTCTGTGACCTTCCTGTTTTACGAACACATCAGTCCCTGTAAGCATACTTAGATAAATGACTTGCAAATTAAAAGAAACATTTTTATGATTCACTGCAATAGCTTGCTTTTTGGGATACAAGGTTAAAAGTGAACAGTAAACCTTTTAAGGTTATTGAAACTAAATTATTAACGCTGGGTTTCACCTTCCTTTTGTCCTCTTTATGGCATTCTTCCTAATTACTCACTGCAACTCCACTCCTACAAGTTGTAAATCAAATGAAAAATCTTTAAAGCACAAAAACACCTGATTAAAACATTCAACCACAAGGGAATTACAGAGACGATGGGGAGTGACATCCTGCATTTTTTAAAAACATGAAGCTTCTGATAGCTTATGAAAAAGAACGTTGTGAAAATTGTGCACTTTCATCTCCGGAAGTAACCAAAAGAACAGTCCAACGTTTGAAATCTATTTGTAACCTTCAAAATAATGAGCACTTTTCTCTACTTGGATCGCACCTGGTGCCTCACACCCAGAGTGCATTTTACCTGTGCGATTTTGTACTCAAACATGAGCTGTTTCAAAGGGGGCTGGTGACTCTTGGTGGAGAATGGAGTTTTCCTTCAGCCCTCTGAATAGCGGGTGACTGACAAAGCTCCGAAACCAGAATATGGAACCCGAAATGTAATGGAGGAATGCCTAATTCTGCCTTACCTAGTTGGGGCCTCCATTTCCTAAACTGTGAAATGGGCTGATGGCACCTTCTGCTTAGGTCCTAGTTGGGAAGATTATGTGAACTTCTCAGCACATAGTTCGTTTAACAACATATTCACAGAGGGGACTAATGTGCTACACATTTTATAAAAGCCTGTTCTATGAATCCCCAAACAGTTTGAATTACTTAACCGGATTCTGACTAATAAAGCCTACCCAATCCCACTTCTTGGTACTGATGCATTACTTCTGGGAGAGAGCTATTGAATTTGAGGAAAGGGCTAGGAACGGGAGTGGGGCCACCTTTCGGAGATGGACCGGCCAGCTCAAATGGTCCGATTTAAGGGGCTCCCAAAAGCAATGCTATCCCCAGTGTCTTCCCTTCCTGCAGGGCTAGGTGAAACATGTGCTATGAGCAGGACCAGCTCCGTGGGTGTGCAACCCCGACAGGCACACAGCCCATGCATAGAAAGCTCTGCTGTTACCGTCTGGCCACTCTCACTAACTTACCTTTAAACTTGTGTAGGTGAAGTCCAATAGGTCAAAGGCACACGTGCATGGTGCACGGGAAAGGCCATCGGCGAGGTGCATGTCTACCGCATTCCTAATCACCCCATTTGCACCGCCACCCTTGATGCCCCATAAGCGCAAGCTTCCAATGGACCCAGGAAGCTCGGGAGTTCAGCAGAGGCGCTGAGGGCCTCAGGAGGCCACTCCTTCCATTCAAACCACAAGTTGCCTTTTTTTTCTTTTGACAAGTATACCATAAATATTTTTTTGACAAGTAAAAATTGTAGATATTTATGGTATACAATATGATGTTTTGATGAATGCATAAGTTGTGGAATGGCTAAATCGAATCAATTAGCATATCCATGACCTCACATATTTATTTTTTTGTGTGGTAAGAATACTTAAAATCTACTCTTTTAGCAATCAGAACTTGCTCTGAATGCAGAAAGGAGGCAATGGCATTCTATGAAACATGAATGACCATGGAAACCTATCCGTTCATTTCTTAACAAATGTGTTATATTTCTGTTAGTCAACCACTTACACCAAAGATGACACAGAAAGAAAAAGATCAGGCAACCTACAGTACCTTTCCTTTTAGTCCTTCCTTACTTATCAATAAGCCAAAAGTCAAGGGTGTGGGTACAATGTCCATGTGTCAAGAAATGAGATACAAACAGCTGAGTTAGTTTTGTGCAGTGTCTCACCATTCTATTGACAATGCAATACACATGCATGTATAAGCTATGAAATACAAGTTATGTCATTTCAGTGATTCCACACACAAGCTAAATGCTTTTACATTTGCTTTTAAAACTGACGTTCATCACAACAGTGTGAATATACTTAATGTTACTAAACTGTGCCCTTAAAAATGGTTAAGATGGTGAATTTTATAGAAAAAAAAAAACCTCTAGCATTGCACCATATATAGATGAATGATAAAATTCATGCCAATAACTTAAAATTTTATTTTTTTTTCTTAGAGAAACATTCAATAGCAAATTAAAAACCTCATGACAAGTCAGGAAGGAGACCATAGAAGAAAGAAACAGCATTTTATTTTAATATCTTTAAGGGAATTTTTTTCTTGTGCTCTGAATAAGTGGCCCAGCATTTTCATTTCTCATGGGGCCTAACAAAACACATACTTTGTTAATAATACAAAGTATGTGTTAACATCTAGCACCGACCATGAACCAGTTATCTGAGTCAGTCTTTGTCCCTGGAGTGGCCTAAGAACAACTGAGGCTTGCCCAGGAAGGATTAGGACTTTCCCCTTGCCCTGCAGAAAGCAGTCCCTCCTACTAGGGACCAACAGCATAAGGCCCCAAATGGGAGACCCCTTCAAGATCTAGGAACTGTCTATGTATGTACCTGGCTGCTCTTGCAAGAAAAGGAAAGCACGAACAACAGCAACAGCAGAAAGAAGCTTTCCGGCATAACCAGGATAGTAACACATGCAGAGAGAGAGAGATCCATCTGGTGGCGACGAAGGGAGAGTGTGGTTCTCACCTATCTGAAGGTACCCGGCCTGTGAGCGTCCCCACCAAGGTCCAGAAAGCACTTGCCAGGTGCTCAGAACTGAACCAGCACTTTACTTAATTTCTGCCTTCAAAGGGATGGTTTCTGCTCTATTAGCCCTTCTGAATCTGCTGCCTCAGTTTACAGAGTCCCATTGCTCCTCTCTATTCCAAATCACAGCATAGTAAATCCAAGAAAAGAAAACAAAAATAAAACAGCTTTCTTAAGCACCTGCTAGCTTTGACCACACTCACTTAGGACACCCTGCTCCCATCCTCACCTGGCCCACCAGCTCTCTTCTTGTCTCTCTCGGCAGTATCCTGCACCTGTTCAGCTGCTGAAAACCTTTTCGCAGGTGTACCATGTGCCTGGAATTGTTCAGGTCTTCCCCTCAGTCATCTCATGGGGAACTCATAGTAACCCTCTGTGTTGTGTAAGTTCCATAGTTAGAGGAGAAGCAGGTTCTGAGAGATGAAGCAGGACTTGTGGAGTGGGAAAGCAGGGTTGGGACAGGAAACACACAGGGCCCGCAGACCATGCTTTCTCATCACCTTACAGGGCTCACAGACCACACTTCCCATCACCTCATGGGGCTCAGAGGCCACACTTCCCATCACCTCACTGGACTCAAAAGCCACACTTCCCGTCACCTCATGGGGCTCGCATGTCAGGAGGAAGCCACCAGGCAGGGCCGGAGGACAGGACGTTATACATGACAACTCACCCAGACTCCACTAAAATGCCACCACCAAGAGGGACATAAAAAGGAGAGAGGTGGGAGAATGAACGTTCCAGGTGAGAAAGACATGATGGCCATGCAATGCCTATAATTTAACTGGATCCCAGATCAAAAACAAACTATCTCAATTAGAGGAACTTGAAAACAGGTTATATATTAGATACTATTGACTGCGTGTGTTAATTTATTATTGGGTAAGTTTCTAAAAATACAAGGAACACAGACCCATCTCTGGATACTGCTTAGCTTTCTACATGGGGGAAGACAAACAGAATGAGAAATAAATTTGACCATATCCATAATGTGTGGTTTATTTAATAAGAACTCTAAAGCATAAAAAATAAGAGATACCATATGAGCTACAGACTGCTATGGAGAGATTGTATGGGCTTAGCATCATCAAGTTCATGTCAGCACAGAAATAGTTGAAAACAGTGATAATGACGACCATCTATTAATAACTCCTATGCACAAGGTAGGCCACCCAACCTCCATATATTTCTTCATTAACCTCTGCAACACCTTTGTGAGACAGGCATGAACACTGCTTGTACAGAATGGGAAACTGGAGCTCAGAGACCATGCCACAGACTCAAAGACACACAGCCAGCAGGTGGCAGCCCCAGGATTCTAACCCAGGTCTTCATGGCTCCAAATCCCAGCCTAATCACTTTTATAAATGGCATGTTTTAAACCACATCAGAGGTGAGACGATACAGGCGGATATTTTAAAAGCTTGTTCTTAAACCTTGAGCGTGTACTTGATCCTTACAGTTTGATATGGTTCCAACTCCTGAGCAGGTCAGCCTCAGGAGGGAGAAGTCTCATTCTGAAAGTCTAAGCCAGATCCTATAATCATCACTGCCCTTATATTCCTGTCTCAAAACAACAAGCTTCAAGAGATTGACCTAAAAGCTTTTCCTAAGACATAGTTAAGAAGATCAATATCTAAATACGTTGCTCCGTGAATCCTGCTTAAGTTGACAATATGGAAAGATAACTCCTCAGCTGGATTGCGGAAAATCTCAAAAGATTTTGCAGAGGTACATGGGGGAATCAGAGCAATATTTCTTCTTCTTTCATCAATGTTTTAAGCATACTGAAGCTCCCCCTCACGGGAAGATGCCAGGTGTCATTCGAGTATGCATGTGTCTTCCACAGGGCACGGGGCACAGAGCTTTATACACTTGAAATCCTCAGTAAATATCTGTGGTGAAAGTAGACTAGATTCTCTCTCACCTGAATATGCAGAGATACAAACAAACTCCAACACAGCATCTTTAAGAGGACTCTCTAAAGCACTGGTGGTCACGCGTGTGAAGTAAAAACCTTAGGTGCCATACATAACAGGAAATGCACAGGGCAGGCAGAGGGTCAAGTGCCCATCTCTGCAATCAACAGGGGACTGTGAAACCCTCGGCAGAGCAAAGTGCAGAATGACTGGGAGTAAACAGCAGAGGTGGAACTGGGCGCGCGACTGCTGTCATCTGAGGGTTTCCTGGTGTTCTTAGATATGCTATTTCATTAGGCCTGGAGCACTTATCCATCATACTGTTCAGGTCCCATCAAATCAGTGTCCCTTTTTATATGTCTATCTCAACAAGCTACAAAGCAGCTCTACTGAGTATTGTCAGCTAGAATGATTTATTCCTTTTCCTGAACAAGCTGGTTCCCTGGTCTCTCTTCATTGTTTTTGTTTCAAATGCTTGAGTGTTTTGAATTTTGAAAGAGAACAAGAGTTTCAAGGGTTAGAGAGGTTAATATTTAATCAAATTTAACCAAAAATATTTTAGGTCCTACTATGTTTTAGCCACTGAGAACAGCAACATGAATAAGCTCATATTCCAGTAGGGAACAGAGACACATACACATGATGACAATACTGGATTTCATATTCGACAACAGACGAATGTACACAGAGATAAGCAGAAGGAGAAGAGAGAAGCTGGAAAACACCACAGAGGGCTTAAGTATCCAAGATGGGTTCTGGAGGACAAATGGAAGATCACCAAGCAGACTGGTCTTTTTTTTTTTGAGACGGAGTCTTGCTCTGTCACCCAGGCTGGAGTGCAGTGGCGCAATCGTAGCTCACTGCAACCTCCACCTCCTGAGTTCAAGCAGTTCTCCTGCCGCAGCCGCCTAGGTAGCCAGGACTACAAGCGTGTGCCACCATGCCCAGCTAATTTTTGTATTTTTAGTAGAAACAGGGTTTCACTGTGCTGGCCAAGCTGGTCACAAACTCCTGACCTCATGATCCACCTGCCTCAGTGTCCCAAAGTGCTGGGATTACAGGCGTGAGCCACCATGCCCAGCCAAAACAAATAATATATATGTATATTGTTTTATATATATATATAACAACCAAAACAAACTATATATATAAACAAGCCCCATACTGGGAGAAACACTGGTAAATCATACATCTATTACAAGACTTGTACCCAGATCTATAAAGGACTCTGACAATTCAGTAAGAAGCAGTCTTATAAAAACAGAGGCAAAGAGATGAATACTTTACCAAAAAAGAAATAAAAAGGGCTATTAATCAAATTTTAAAAAGCACTATTAAACATTATTAGAAAAATGCAAATTAAAATCATAAAATACCACTTCATACTCACTCACTAGGGTGGCTATAATAAAAAGGGCAGACAACAGGCCAGGTGTGGTGGCTCACACCTGTAATCCCAGAATTTTGGGAGTCTGAGGCAGGTGGATCACTTAAGGTCAGGCGTTCGAGACCAGCCTGACCAACACAGCAAAACCCCATCTCTACTGAAAATAAAAAAATTAGCTGAATGTGGTAGCACATGCCTATACTCCCAGCTACTTAGGAGGCTGAGGCAGGAGAACTGCTTGAACCCAGGGCAGGGGGGAAGAGGTTGCAGTGAGCCAAGATCATGCCATTGCATGCCAGCCTGGGCAACAGTAAGACTTCATGTCCAAAAAAAAAAAAAAAATGATAAAAAGTAGTATTGGTGGAGATGTGACTATATTGGAACCCTAAAACATTGCTGGTGGGAATGTAAAATGATCCAGCCACTTTGAAAGCCAGTGTGGCAATTTATTAGAAAGTTAAACATAAACTTAGCATGTAACTCAGCAATCTCACTCCAGGGAAATAAAATGTGTCCACACACAAAACTGAACACAAGTTCATAACAGCATGATTCTTAATAGCCCCAAACAGAAAAGTCCAAATATTCATCTACTGTTGAATGAATAAATAAAATGTAGTATATCTTATAATGGAATGCTATGAAGCAAAATAAAGGAAAAAACTACTAATATATACAACAGCATGGATGAATGCTAAGTTAGAGAATCCCCGTGCATTGCAAAGATTTCATCAGGAATACTTGAAAGCAACTGCAACACAAATAAAAATTGACAAGTGGGACCTAATTAAACTAAAGAGCTTCTGCACAACAAAATAAACTATCAACAGTGTAAACACACAACCTACGAATGGGAAAAAATATCTGCAAACTATCTATCCAACAAAGGTCTAATATCTAGAATCTACAAGAAACTTAAATTGACACGCAAAAAACAAACGGCTCCCTTAAGAAATGGGCAAAGAACATGAACAGACACTTCCCGAAAGAAGACACACATGTGGCCAACAAGCATATGAAAAAAATGCCCAATCAGTATCACCAGTCATTCAAGAAATATACATCAAAACCACAATGATACCATCTCACACCAGTCAGAATGGCTATTATTAAAAAGTCAAGAAATAGCAGATGTCAGTGAGGTTGTAGAGAAAAGGGAAGGCTTACTGCTGGGGAATATAAATTATGTCAGCCACTGTGGAAAGCAGTTTGAAGATTTCTCAAAGAACTTAAAACAGAACGACCATTTGACTCAGCAATCCCATTACTGGGTATATACCCAAAGGAATATAAATCATTTTACCGTAAAGACACATGCATGCTTATGTTTATCACAGCACTATTCACAATAGTGAAGATAATGGAACCAGCCTAGATGCCCACCAATGGTGAACTGAATAAAGAAAATGTGGCCCATCTACACCAAGGAATACTAGGCATCCATAAAAAGGAATGAGAGCCTGTCCTTTGCAGCAACACAGTTGGAGCTGGAGGCCATTATCCTAAGCAAACGAATACAGGAACAGAAAGTCAAATCCTCTACATTCTCAACTCTAAGTGGGAGCTAAACATTGAGTACACATAGACAAAAAGAGGGAACAACAGACACCAGACTTACTGGAGGCAGGAGGGCAAGAATTGAAAGCTACCTATCAAGTACGATAGGTGAGAAAATAATGTGTACCCCGAGCCCCCATGAAACACAATTTGCCCATGAAACAAACCTGCACGTGTACCCCTGAACCAAAAAATAAAAGCTGGAAATAAAAAAGAATCCATGTGCAAAAAAGTCTACATGTTAGTGGTTCTATTTATATGAAATGTCTAGAAGAAGCAAATCCACAAAAGCAGATAAGCTGGGGTGAGAACAGTGCTGGAATTTTTGTGGATGAAAGAAATGTTCTAAGACTAGACTGTGGTGACAGTTGCACAACTCTATGAATTTATTAAAAATTATAGACTCGTGCACCTAAAACAGGTGAATCATATGATACGAACATTATACTTCAATAAAGCTGGTACAAAGTATTGCTTAGGATGAAAATGGCAGGGAAAGATATGGGTTTTTAGGCAGCATAGAAGCTGAATAGTCTTGTGTTCAACAAAATTTTTAAATGAAAAAATAAACACCGTGCTCCCAAATGCAAGCCGAGACATCCCTCAGCATGTGAAACTCTCTTCACCTGTCCGTTGTTATGCATGTATGTTTCTGAGGCAGGTAACTCTGGGATTATTTTGAATCCTCTCACTTTTTTGCTTTTAATTTCTACAGTCATCATACCTTGTCTGTGATCACACTGTTTTCCTCTTCATATCCAAGTTACTCCACAACCCTGGTCTCTGTTTCTGATGAGTGCAGGGCCAATGAGGACATCCTGACAGTGTTTCCTTACCACTTCCCTCAGCCTCCAAACCCCAGCAACTGGCTACCCTGTCCCATTGACACAGTCTTCACAACAGCCACACCTTTTCCACTCACACACCTAGCAAGAGGGCTCACTGAGCCTAGCTTCTCAGCATCAGCTGTATGCCTGCTTCTGCATGAGATGCCTCTCCTCCAAATACAGCCTAAAACTTTCCTCTTCCTTCTTTTTATTTTATTTAGAGACAGAATCTTGCTCTGTACCCAGGCTGAAGTACAGTGGCGTGATTATAGCTCACTGCAGCCTTGAACTCCTGGGCTCAAGCAATTCTCCCACATTGCCCTCCTGAATAAGCTGGGACTATAGCTGTGTACCATCATGCCCAGCTAATTTTAGAATTTTTACTATAGTGATAGGGTCTTGCTATGTGGCCCAGGTTGGTCTCTGAACTCCTGACTGCAAGTGATCCTCCTACCGTGACCTCCCAGAGTGCTAGGATTACAGGTGTGAGCCACCTCTGGCCCAAACTCTTCTTTATAAACACATTCCACAAGTATTAAGCCTAAATATGCCTCTTTAATACGATCATTTTGCTCATATTCATACATCCCTTGGTAATTCTTCTCTAGTTGAAGAATGTGTGTGTGTGTGTGTGTGTGTGTGTGTGTGTTCCAACCTGCTCAAAAGCTCCAAGGTCGGCCGGGCGCGGTGGCTCATGACTGTAATCCCAGCACTTTGGGAGGCCAAGGTGGGTGGATCACAAGGTCAAGAGATCCAGACCATCCTAGTCAACATGGTAAAACCCCATCTCTACTACAAATACAAAAAAATTAGCTGGGCATGGTGGCGCGTGCCTGGAATCCCAGCTACTCAGGAGGCTGAGGCAGGAGAATTGCCTGAACCCAGGGGGCGGAGGTTGCGGTGAGCCGAGATCGCGCCATTGCACTCCAGCCTGGGTAACAAGAGCGAAACTCCGGCTCAAAAAAAAGCTCCAAGGTCACAAACTGTGTTCTGTCCCATATTTCTTATGTTTTCAACACACCTAATCAATTTTTGTTGTTTCTGTTGCTGGGCAATAAATGAACAAGCAAACAAATAACCAAAGTAAAGAATGAGTGAAATGCTGATGCAACAAGGAAATGTATCAATGCATACATTTATTCATCCAATTTACGCATTGTAGTAGCTTTTGTTACATGAAAGAAAAGTCTTAAGAATTATTCATCTAACTTGTCACGTGGCCCTCAAATGAATTCCTATTTGCATTTGGATAGCTTAAAAATACCAAAGCTTTAGTTCACATTTATACACTTGGACAGCAATGAGGTGTGACAGAAAAGGCAAATATATTAGTGTCAAATATGAATAACCTTTCCTTGCCCAGCTCTGGGGAGGTCCTGAACTGAGGAAACAATATGGCCTTCTGTTTCTATTTAATATATTGTGCAACCACAAATCAAAGACTGTAACCAATAAATAAATAAATACCACAGAACATAAAGCAACCCGGCCACAGAAACCAGGAAAGCCTCAACATGTCCATTTCCTGAGCAGGAAGAAACACACCAGGGCTTGGTCCACCCAGCAGTGGATACTGACTGGAAGAGCTGTGTGCCTCTTCCATCCTCCCCTTCTATCTCTACCCCAGACCTCTGTATGAAGACAGATTCCATTCTAAATTCACATTGGTAAAGCTAAGTATTTTGTTTATATTTGCCGAAAAGCAATATACAAAGACACCTCAATATACCCAATATCTAAAGAAGGAACAGACTGAAAGTTTTCCATACCTAGCAACTCCCATCAGTCACTTGAATATAGATCTGGACTGGCTCGACCTCCTCCAAATTATTTTTCCTTTAGTCAACTTAATACTGAGGATGATGTCTTGTCCTATTTTGGCCTTTTACTTCTCAATGCAAAGCAAGAAACTCTTTTGCTCTTCATTCTAAAATGACAAGTTTAGAGGGTAGAGAGGAAACTATCAACTGGCAACTTAAAAAAAATAATTTAAAAAACGAGCTGGGAGTGGTGACTCACGCCTGTAATCCCAGTGATTTGGGAGGCTAGGGTGGGAGGATCACTCGAGGCCAGGAGTTTGAGACCAGCCTGGGCAACACAGTGAGACATCAAAAAATGTAAACACAGCTGGGCACTAGGCCGGGGTTGCGGTTCCAGCTACTTGGAAGACAGAGGTGGGAAGATCTCTTGAGTGCAGGAGTTCAAGGCTGTAGTGAGCTATAATCGCACCACTAGCATTCCAGCCTGGGTGACATGGTGAGATCCTGTATCTTCAAAAATAAAACTCCAAATCAAAATCAAAACCTAAAGAATTTCTTCTAAGGTTGCTTTTCGTTCTTCGGTTACTCTACTTGTGCCCAAAAGTGGAGGCTCATCTTAGCCACAAAACTTCATCCTTTTGTCAAACTTGTTTTAGACATCCACATATACATATGTGTGTAACAAAACTGCTTAACATAGCTTTATATACTCTATTCTTAACAGGAAAAAGTATGCATGAGATATTTTTTCCTTTTGATATATACTGGTGTTATTAACATAATCTTAGTTAAAAATCAAAAAAAGAACTTGTTCATGAACTATTTTCTACAAAGAACCAACTTTTGGTTTCTGAACCATATTACTTCCAGAAGTCACGCTACTGGAAATGTATTAGTTACCTCTGAAGGTCACAACATTTCAATCAGTTCTAGAATGTCAGGGCTGTCTGTGGCATATTCCAAATCTCAGCACTCAAAGTGGCAGCTGTGGCTTACAGATGATCATCTTTCAGATCAACGCCCAACTGACACCATTTCCACAGGGCAGAGATGTGCAGGAAACTTGTAGGAGGCAAATGTCTTCTCCCGAGTGTCTCTACCACTCTCCCTAAACAGCCACCCATTGTTCTCTGACATGGACAGATTTGCTTTCAATCTTCATCTTTTCTTCCCCCCTCTTGAAGCTCTCTTGCTTGTTAATGCCCTGACCTTGGCATCTGTGCTCAGATGCAGCGAATGTGATGTGCTCCAACAATGCCGACTATTGGCAAGGAACATAGGCACGCTCAGTGATGTCACTGAGCTCATTAGGGATATATTTGACATTCTGGCCCCAGAGAACATACTTATTAAACACAACCTTAGGGAACAGCAGTGGGGCCTGCTGATAAGTAAAGTAAAACAATACATGTTTTGTCCTCCTATAAAAATAGCACTTTGACCAAGAAATAGGCTTTCTGCTCTTATTTCCTTAATTATAGTAGCAAAGCAAACTAAAAGATGACTTACATATCAAGAGATAATAGGCTGAAACACTCAGTGCTATGTTAGGCACTTTACAGAACTTGAAAAAAGGTCAAAATATTAATCAATCATTAAGCAAATACTTCACTTTCCCAATCCCGGTTTGAGAACAGAGTCAGAGGTTAATGCTGCTGAGATAATATTACCAGATAACATGTCTTATAGGTATACAATAGCAATATCTAAATTATACTCTTAGTCCAGATATGAGATATTTGGGGACTGATAAAACTCACAAAATGTTTCCTCCAAGGACTCCAATCAATTGCAATTTTATAACCCAATCTATTTGGTAAAGATGACTTAACCTGGATATGACAGACAGGAAGGGGAGCTTGAAAAGGTTACAGTAACATTTCTGATCTTTAGCAACAGAGCGTACACCTAAAAAGTTTAGGAAACCTGCTAAGACACTGCCATGTAGGCTTCACTTGAGACCTCATGAGAGGCAAACCTTCAATCAGGACTTACAAGAAATAAAATCCTAACAACTTCTCTGACAGTTTTCAAACAAGATGACTTTTAGACATGCGAGTGAAATTGTCCTCATTTATTGAACAGTGTGACGGAAGAAAGTTCAACACAAAAATCATAAAGTAACGAATACTGTGCAATGCAAACAAGAACCTGGTCCCTAAATTACAATATACAGAGAGTAGCTGGGAAGGGTAGATAGTATTGTTGCCTCGTGGCAGGTATAGTGAAACATTTTCCCTTTTTCTTTTAGAGACAAAGTCTTGCTGTATTGCTCAAGTCCTAGTGCAACGGTGTAATCATAGCTCACTGTAATTTTGAACTGCTGGGCTCATATGATTCTCCCACCTCAGCCCCACAAGTAGCTGGACTACAGGTACATACCATCATGTGTGGCTAACTTTTAAATTTTTTGTAGCGATGAGATCTTGCTATGTTGTTCAGGCTGGTCTCAAACTCCTGGCCTCCAGCAATCCTCCCGTTTCAGCCTCCGAAAGCTTTAGGATTACAGGCATGAGGCACTGTGCCTGGCCCATCCTCACATGCTAACACTTTTTCTTTTTTCTTTTTCTGCCTAGCTGTAAGCAGGGTCCTGAACTGAGGAAACTATTTGGCCTTTACTTTCCCTTGGACTCTCTGTGTCAGAATGGAGTGTCCTTGCCTCCTGTAAACTCTTCAGCCTTCTACCACATCAGGCATGTGGCCAAATATCCTCATGTGGCTAAATCTATGGACATGGTTCTGTCACATCTTACTCAATCATCTCTTAGCTCTGCTAAAAAGAGTGGATCATTGTCTCCTTCCTGTCTTGGTTTCTATAGGACCGCTATCTCTTGATTTTGATTATTCTTGCTATCCCATCTCAGTTTCTTTTGCTCCTTCTCATTCCTGTACTGATCTCTCAACACAGGAGGTCCCAAGGGCTTAGAACCAGCCCTTCTCTCCTCCATTCTCTCCCTAGATGGTATCATCCATTTCCATAGTTGGTATTTAAAATACCATCTGCATGCTGATGATTTCCACATCAATATCTCCAGCCTACATGTCTTCTCTGTCCACCATACTCACATACCTAACCGTTTCCTTGACATCTCAAACTTAGCATGTTCTAAACTCAACACCTACAAAGCTCAGCCTGCTCCTCTTGCTTTCTCTATCTCAAAAGCAGTGCCCTAGATATTCAGTTGTTAAAGTCAGAATCTTGCCAGTCATTTTTTAATTTCCTACCCAATAAGCATCAGGTCCTATTGGCTCTAGGTTTAAAATCTCTCTCAAGTCTATTTATTTCTATCCCATCCCACCTCCTAGTGCAAGCCTCCATGATTGCATCTCAGGACTCAATCAGCAGCTCCTGCACACAGGCTTCCCTGCCTCAAGGCTGCCCACCATGCTGGGTATTAACCTACTGTCTCTGAGCTCCAAGCTGGCCCTTTTACACTCTGCGCTGTGATGTGGGAGCTGCTTTTGCAGTTATGATCTCCAGTTACTTTTGTGTTGTCTATTTCTCCTTCCCACACTGTGTATCCAAACCCCTATACCAAATCTCATCTGTTTGAAGTACCTAGTGGAATTTCTGTCTTCCTGGCTGATATAACTACTTTGTAATCTATTTCCCATACAAGCGCCATTGGGATGTTTCAAAATTACGAATCAGACTATGCCCACAATCTGAAAACCACTATATGGCTCCCCATGATATCCTGAATAAAATTTCCTATTTTAGCCTGGCCCTGGTAGGTTCACCTGCCATATACCTCTCTGATTTCATCCCATAGCACTCAACACACTGCAGCCACCTGACTACCTTCTAGTTTCTGGACCATGCTAAACGTCTCCCTGCCTTTTGCTTTGTCCACAAAGCTCCTTCTGCCTGGGTGGCTCTTTTCCTCCCTTCTCTGCATGAATGACTCCTTTTCATCCTTCAGTACTCAGCCCAAATATCATTTTCTCAAGGAAATTACTCAGTACCTTGATTATGCTCTTATCATAATGTATTACTAAATATTTATTGATTTATTTTTATTTTTTAGTTAACTTCCACCCCCCATGCTAGAAAAGCAAGGACTTTATAGAACTCACCACTATGTACATAGCACAATGACCTCCAACACATATTTGCTCAGTGAACGAAAGAATGAGTAAATGGATATCATTCCTATGTTTTTGTAAATGAAGGATTTTAAGTACCACAAATAATTGGTTAAAACAAAAATAGCTCTCTTTCCTATAAAAACAATTTTGCAAGGCAAATTGAAAACATGCATGCACTTTAGGGAGAAAATGATTTAAAAATACTAGTCCATGGTGGATTCTTTAGACATTGCTTTATTTGCCAAGTTTTGTGTTATTTGTAAATTTTCCCTATTTGCCAAAGCAATTTCTCCAAGGAACTCCATGAATCTGACAGTAATTAAGTTACTATTAATTTTCTTAAAGATTCTATAATTCAGATGACTAATTTAGGACTTTCTCCTGCTTAATGTGAATTTATTAAGGTTTGCCATACTTTCTTCGTTCTTTTTTTTTTAAAGGCAAGATTATGCTGTTATAGAACTAAAAATTTCTTAAATTCCTAGACTGAAACTCACAACAAATCTTCCTGGAACTATAAAAGTTAATGACAGGGCTGAAGCATCTGAGAGATTTGCAGTCAACCCAGTTCTGCTGCTAAACATGACAATGACTTGGGTGAGAATCAGCTCAGGGGTTGGTAAGATTCTAGGCAGGCGTCCAGAGTCGACCACATTGACTGTTTGTATAACCTCGTTCAAACGGTTTGCCCTTGTCATGTTCTCTCCTACTCACAGATATTTTTGTGATGGATATGACATTATTTGCAATTGGTCGCTATTTGTGGATAATTTGCTTTTTTTCCCAATTCATCTATGTGTTTATAAAATGCCACATTAACTACCACTGACATTTAGTTACTGAGTTCTAATGACTGACATAAACAAACAAATGTGTGTGTGCGAATGTGACTGGCATGAAATTGGATCTTGCCGAGTTCTGACTAATGATATCCACTTGTGGTCTTGCTGGTCTGATGTGCGTCAGGGTGCATATGTGTGAAGAACGAAGGCTGCAATAATTGCTCTGGCTTTTGTATGTCTTTTATATTTTACATTGTACTAAATGATTTTGATTTGCTCTAAGAAAATGTCCGACAATATTCAGTTCAATGCATTTTCCAGCTGAAATGTTTCCAAACACAGAATTTCCCTCTACAAATATCCAACCACTTTTAAAAGTATTTAGATTAACAGAGATACCAAGAAAACGCTGCACAACAAAGGGTGTCACTAAGACAATGTCATCTTTTCTATAGTTGGTGAATACCAGTTGTTGGAATCAGAGTTTAAAAAGACCTTGGAGAGTATACCTAATCCAACCATCTACTGAAGGACAAGACTAGTTTTGGGGTATGTGATGGCAATAATATGATCTAAGCTTATGATCTAAGGAGACAGGGAGAGAAAGCACTTATTGGAGGGCTGATGACTACATTTCACAATCAACAGAGCCGACTGTCCAGGGATATGATATCCATCAGAGAAAAACTGCATCTGTAGTAACAGACACCATTTACTGGACTAAACACAGCCATTGAAGCTTTTTTTTTTACTTCCCACTCTTATTTCATTTATTTCAGTTTCCAGAGCTGCCTGACTGGGACTACTTTAATACCACCTTCACTAAAGTTTTCCACAACTATAATAAGGAACAGGTAACATATTTGTATCAATACAGAACTAAAGATAACAGCACTTTCCTATAATGAGTATATGACAAATAACTAAAAGCTTTAATTATGAAAAATCTTTTCCTTTCAGCAAGGTAAAAATCTTGTGCTATTGTTGTTTTTCCTGTTTGGTATCATGCAAAAATTGTCTTGCAACCTGACTGCTTGCAACAATTAGTTTACAGGAAGGAACAGAGCTAGACCCATGTTGGTACTCAAGACAGAAAGTGTTAACAGACGTCCAAATCTCTTAAACCAATGTGAAATTTTCAAAAGTTTTCATGGGATTCAATAAGAAATAACGTGGGGCTGAAGACCTTCACAATACTCTCTTAGCACCAATCAAGTCTATTCTCCAGTAAGTCTGGATGACTGAAGCTCTTTTCATCAAGGGAGTATTGGGGTAGAGTAAGAATCAGGGTTCTTAAAAGGATTTGGAAACTAAGAATACTTTAGCTCTTGGAAAATATTATTCCCAATATTTATTAAAGCTGATGTTAAAATAACATAAAATTTGATCCTCTACAAAAAGAGTGTTTAAATTTCTCCTAATAACAGAGAAGCTGTAACTGACAGATGCTGAGGTCAAGACATCTAGCCTTTTACAGCTAATACAAAACCTATTACAGCGCTCAGTACACATTGCTGGGTTGTGAGAATGAGCATGTGTCTGTAAACTCTTAACCACAGATTAGAGGCTTGCTTCCTGAGGGTTTTTAGTTTCTTTTAAACAGATGGTCCAAAGTGAGGATGAAGGAAGCTGTTTTGATCCATTGTGTAGGTACAGAATGTAATCATTTATTTTGTTTAAGCACTACACTGCCTAGAGTTAAATAATTGAGTGAAAATTCTCAGCTTTAACTTTAAAGCTAGAGCACATGGAGGCAAAGCGTTTGAAAATTTTCATTAGTGTATTTGCATAAATGTTTACTCTCTTGCAAATATGAATATAAATACAACTATTCTTATTTATTTAGTTAAGGTTAGGTGTACTTCTATACACACTGTGTGTATGTGTATGTGTGTGTTTTATCAACCATGATAGTTTTTTTATAGAAATAGGAGAAATGCTGCTGTTTAACAAGTTTAATTAAGGATGAGGGAAATAGCCATGTATGAATTTCCATACAATATCTCAAACAGCTTTCAAATGGCAGAAAGTTAATCTTCTGGACACATCTTTTGATTATATAAACTATGAACATAAATAAATGACTGTAACTCTGAAATTCTGATTTACTCAGGGACAAGTGATTAGGACATTATTCTGATATATGTTATAATCCCACATTACGCTGTTAAAATAATAAAGCTCAAAGTAGTACTTCTCCATGTACATAGGATTGGGAATAAAGAATGCTGTCTTTTTAAACTTAGCATTTGAATGCATTATTTTATATGCCTCTCCTGGCTTGGTTTCACACTGGTAAATGGTGTTTCATCAGCCCAAATATTGGGAAGGATGGTCCATGAACTTAGTTTATGAATACTGACATATTTCAACCCACAAATAGGAATATAACACTGCATCACAATGGAGCAAAAAGAAAAAGGAACAGTCAATAGGAAAATCTAGATGAACTAAACAAAGGCACTTAATTTAATAATGAAAACCACTCCAATTTACAATGTACTCTACTCCACCTCTAGCCATTGAATTATTAAAATAAATGCATATTCAGATGTTTCCCAAAGATGCTTTCCTTCTCTTTCAGATTCAAAAGAACGCCTCTCTAATCCAATACAATTCTTTTCACTCTGCATTTCAGCAGCTGTCTTTCCTGATTTCTAATCAAAGCTGATGATAACTGGCTTTGGCAACAGACTGTAGTATCCCAAATGAGTAATTAAGGCTATAAATGTGCTCACTTCTTCCTCAAAACCCAGGGTGCATTTCATAGTGTAACAGATTCAGGCTCAACAAGGCTCTCCTGGTTGTTTTAATTTGATCATAATTTTTAATACATTAATAAAAGAATAGCTGAGGTTTTGTGTTAGTATTTTTCAATAGCTAGTTCCACTTAATACAAATGTCAGGGCTAGCAAACTCCCCCAGTCCCAACATCTCCCATGCATATGGCTCCCAGACAAAGAAGCTGGTGGCCAGCAATTGGCTTTGACTAAGAAAGAAAAATACAGGAAAATAAAAACCATGTCATTTAAAAAATGCCTAAGAAAATATTTTCAAAATCACAGAAAATGCTTTTTAAAAAACCATGCAGTGCTGAACACTAACATCTTCTCAGAGAAACAGCAGTGACGGGAATAGTTCACTTGGAAGATGGCTCTACCTTGAAGGAGTGTTTCTCTTCTAACTCATTCCACGTCCTATAAGAAAGATTTCTGAGTAACTCATGAAATGAAGAAAAGCCTAATAAATCCACTGTGTCAACCTGATTAACGATAAGCAGCATTGCTGAGCATGGTGGCTCATGCCTGCAATCCCAGCACTTTGGGAGGCTGAGGTGGGTGGATCACGAGGTCAGGAGTTCAAAACTAGCCTGGCCAATATGGTGAAACCCCCTCTCTACTAAAGATACAAAAAAATTAGCTGAGTATGGTGGCACATGCCTGTGATCCTAGCTCCTTGGGAGACTGTGACAGAAGAATCACTTGAACCCAAGAGGTGGAGTTTGCAGTGAGCCAATAATGCTCCATTGCACTCCAGCCTGGACCACAAAGTGATACTCTCTATCTGAAAAACAAAACAAAACAAAACAAAAAAACCTGATATTTGGCTTAAGTAGAAATAGCTTACCATCTTTGATTATATTATTTGAAAATGAAAAAAATGAGTATTCTTAGAGTTTAAAAATATGCTATTGGCAGGAAATAGGACAGATCATGGACATCAATCATAGTTCATTTTAAGTTGCTAAAAGATAGGAAATTGGATAAACAAACAGCAGCTAACAATCACTGATCACATCCTATGTGACAGGTACATTCTCAGTACTTTACTGTATGACCCCTATGTATGTTTACTGTATGACCCCTATGTACGTTTACTGTATGACAACCCAATTTCTTATGTTGTTTAAGGCACGACTATGAATACCTTTTACGGACTAAGAAACTGAGGCTCAGAGGTTAAGCAACTTGACCAAGATAAACCCATAAAATGAAATATAATGTAGCCACTTAAAAAATGTTCTCTTAAGAGAATATGGAGTGGCCTGGAAAGATGTTTGTGACAATATGAGTTTAAGAAGGAACACTACTAAAGAGTTACGCATAACATGATTTTATCTTCAGTTCTGAATAAGTACAGATGTGCAAATAACTGTATGTGTCTGAGAATATATTCAAAAATATTAAACATTCTTGTTTTGGGGGGCTAGGTGATCTTTTCCTTTTCCGTATTTCGTAAGTCTTACATAAAAAAGTATCACTTTCATATCAAGATAATTTTAGGCTTTAGTCAAAGAAATCATTCTATTGTTGTATTCAATGATAACAATTTTCAGGAGTTTTAGTTTTTTAGAAAGCACGTGAAAAGGGTGAATAGCAAAATCTTTGACAAACAGGCTTTTAATTATAGCTGCCTTGAAGTAAGGTGGGGATTTTGGATTTGGTGAAGAAAAGTTTTAAAAACAAGAAACAGGAAGCACCATAAAGAGAGGGCTTGTTTTTCTTCCTGGTGGAGACTGTCCTCATGGTGGCACACCCAGGAGTCAGCCTCCTTTTCCCAACCTCTCCCTTCCTGTCCCCAGAGCAAGATTTTTTGAGGCCAGGTAAACAGTCTTTCCCAGCAAGCAGAGTTCCAAACTACAGACAGAAGGACCTAGAGCAGTCAACACGGAGACTGCCTGAGCGTGCACCACCAAACAAAGAAAAGATCAGGGGTGAGGAGCCCATGCCCTGCACACACACATCCATGAAACCAGTGTCGACTGAGCAGCCACTGTTTCAGGGCTTACAGACACACAGCTTTACAGGACAGATGGGGTCTCTGCTCTCCTAGAGTTACACTTAAGAGGGGAGAATCAGAAACAGAAAAACACAGGAATGAACAGGGTAATGTGAAACACGGATCCATGTGTAAAAAGCATTCAAGAGGAGCCATGTGCTTGAGAGGATGGTGGGGGCCAGCTTGTGCTTTAGACGGGACAATGGGGAGACCAGGAAATGCTGAATTGAGCCTGAATACCAGGAAGATGCTAGCCATTTCAAGATCCAGAGCAGGACGCCCAGGAGACAGAATGGCAAGGGCAGGGGCACTAGTAGCCTGGGACTCTGCACTTGGCTTAGTCAAGGAGCTCCAAGGAGGCCAGCATGGCTGGACACAAAACTCTGAGGAGCATGGTGCAAGAGAGACTGGAGGAGACTCAGTGGCCCTGGAAGGCCCTCAGCAGAGGGAGGGCACAGGGTGTCTGATGTTCACAGAAGTGAAAAGGCAAAGACAGGCCCATAACAGAAGAAAAAAGGAAAAGCGCAGAATGGAGGAACAGAAAGCAGCATTGGAGTGTTCAAAAGAAGAAGGAAGCAGGGAGACAGAGTGAGTGTGAATACAGAGCAGGGGCACCTCATCTTAATCACAGCTGAATGAGGGGCCATCGATGTTTCACAAGCATCTGAAACAAACCAATGGCTACAGATGCACTCCAGGGCACTACCTCCACTTGAGCCTGCGGAAGTAATAGGGAGGACATGGAATTCAGGAGGGACAGAGGTCTCAGTGCCAACGCCAGAAGACATGGACCTGGATCTCCCAGACCACAGCATTCTTTCCAGGTTCTAAGTAGGTATGACAGTACTTCAACCCTCAATTCATGTTTGTCTGGCTTCCTCACAAACAGCTGTATCTGTTTAACCCTCAAGTCAATATTGTGCATATTGTGTCTCTTTTTAAAAAAATCTCTTCTCATTTTAAGTCCAAGTAAGACCCTTAACTAGGTATCATTTACAACAGAAATACCTAAATGCAGGTATATTTACAATAACCAGCTAGCAGGGGCAAGTGTGCTCTACTTTCCAAAGGTGCTATCATACACATCTTCGCTTTGGAAGTGATTCACTCCCAGAACTCGTGGGTGAGGTCAGTACACAGGGGTCATCATCATAGCAGAACACAACACACTGGTACAGCTTATATTTTTATGCATGCTTTCACATATATAATTTACTTGATCAGCATATCTTCCTTTTTTAATTGGAAAACCAGGTATGATCATCCCTGTTTAGAAATTTATTAAAAGGCTACTGATAATCAGGTGACCTTGTCCGTCCAAGGCAGCACTCCTATTTAAAGACAGTGGCCCCTCTAGCCCGCGGGTGTCCAAATCCATATCAGGTGTGATAGGACAATCGTAAAAGGTAAGACGACGGTAAGAGGTGACTACCTTCATCTGCCTCCCTCATCCCCAGCTCCACACCCCGCACTAGTTCAACTGTTGCAAAATGAGAGGTTAAATCATGCTCCTTCCAGCTCTAAAATGGCAGAAATCTATGATTCTAAAAGTTTTCTTTTCAACATAAAATTTAATGAAAACCAGTATTTCACCACACACAAAAGTAACATGTCAAACCGTCACTACCTTTCCATGAGAAATGTGTGGAACGCACACATGAAAAATAATTTAAACACTGAAAGACCGAGGCAGGCAGATTATTTGAGGTCAGGAGTTCTGAGACCAGCCTGACCCTCCCTCTACTAGAAATACAAAAAATCAACTGGGTGACGTGGTACACACTTGTAATCCCTTCTACTTGGGAGGCTCAGGCAGGAGAATCACTTGAGCCCAGGAGGCGGAGGCTGCAATGAGCCGAGATTGCGCCACTGCACTCCAGCCTGGGCAACAGAGCGAGATCTGTCTCAAAAATGGAACCAATTCTTCATTTGTAGCCACAGTTTAAGAAACAGGAAAATCCATTTGCATTTCTATCTTGTTATTATTTGTGTTTTGCTGGTGTTAATAACATAAAATATTTAAAATTTGTGTTACACATGAACCAATTATAATTATCTAGTGAGAAAACAATTTTATATTGGGACTCTAAAAATAATCTATTTTACCACTGCAACAGATCACACACATTATGAGATACTACCACCAATTAATATTACAGTGGTTCATGTACTGACAGTTCCAGTTTGAAATGCTCTCATCCCAGCTGATGCCCACATTCAAAACACAGGACCCAGAAAACACTAGATACATGCAAATCACCCTATGCATATGTAATGTATATTAAGTACATTGCCCAATACATCACATTCAGGGATTATTTCGTTTACTGCATAGATGGCCTGCAGTTTTTACAAATTAAATTTCATTTAAAATAAACTCCAAGATGTTGTCCAATATTTTATGATGTATTAAAATGAAACGCTTCTTCAAGTAACTGAGCTACCCACTGAAGTCTGAAGATCTACTTACTGGAAGGATGTTTTTAAAAATCATAATATGGCTGGGTGCTGTGCCTCACGCCTGTAATCCCAGCACTCTGGGAGGCTGAGGTAGATGGATCATGAGGTCAGGAGTTTGAGACCAGCCTGGCTAACATGGTGAAACCCCATCTCTACTAAAAATATAAAAATTAGCCAGGCCGTGGTGGTGCGTGCCTGTAATCCCAGCTACTCAGGAGGTTGAGGCAGGAGAATTCCTAGAGCCTAGAATGCTCTGCCAGGAGGCAGAGGTTGCAGTGAGCTGAGACTGTAGGCTACTGCACCCTAGCCTGAGTGGCAGAGTGAAATTCCCTCTCAAAAAAAAAAAGAAATGATACCATATTTTTGTCATCAAATTTGACCTGTACCACAATTAAATATATGTACAATACTGCAAGCAGTCACTATGCCAAATGCTTTAGATAGGTTAGATCATTCATCCCACACCACAACCCTACAAGATAGTAATTATAATTATTTATGCGTATACAGTTAACTATTTTACAGATGAGAAGAGAAAGGTGTTAAGCTTCCCAATTCTCACAGTGCTTTAGTTTGAGGAAAAAAAAATTCCTTATGTCAGAATTAGTTTTTCTACCTGGCTGATCAGTTAAAGAATACCAATAAATTGATAAATATGGTAATAAGCTTAATATGTTTCTATTGCACCTCAAGTTCAGTACTGCAGTACAGTAACAGGATGTTACTTCAGACAATGTCTAATTACCAGTGCTTTTGCTTAGAATTTGAAACTAATAGGAATAGGATTTTGTTTAGTATAAACAGACATCTCAAAAGAGGCTGATTAAGGGATAATACATTTCTTACTCGGGAAACATTTAAAGGAAATCAGCAAAATGTTGTGTCTAGTTAAACATAGGCCCAGTCGTGCCTGAATAACTGCACAGGAAGAAAACAGAGACAAGAGCAAAGATACTGAAGGGCCTTAAAAATAACCTACCCACTTTGCTTCCTTTTGATACCTGTTCTTGAATCCAGCAGTATCAGGAGGGTAATAGATCCTGACCACCGGCTTAAGAAATTCACCAAGAAAGAAATGCAACGTTATCAATTCTAAAATATGGCTATTTTTGAGGAAAGAAGTCCTAGCAAAAGAAATCAGAGTGTAATAATAATTTATAAAGTGATATATTCTGTCCCATGTCATTGATATGTTACTAAAAATCTTACACAATCTAATTTTTAAAATTCAATCATTTGTACATGCTGAGCTCACATGCTATAGAGGAATCTTCTTAAATAAATGAATCGAGTCATTAAGTAACTTGAAGTCATCTTTTTTCATTCATTCATCTTATAAACTGCCTTTAAATTCTCCAAAAATGTACAAATGCATTTGGAGGGGATAGGGGTGAATGAAGGCATGATCTTTCTCCTTATCTCCTTACAGGAGAAAGTGCCCTTGTACACAGTGGTCACAGCAGCCCTCCATATGAGATTGTTTTCCAACAGCAGTGTAAGTCCTAAACACAGATCTCAGGAAATGCCTTAATGACTCCCCAACATCACCAAGGAAGATGACCAGAGAATATGAAGAAAAGTACAAACTGTGCAGCAAGTAGAGGAGAGACAGATAGCTTTTAACAATCCTGTTCAGACCCTGAAGAAAGTCTTAGCAAACAAACTCTTTCAGATCTGGGGATGGAAAGAGATTCACTCCAACTAAAAGTACTAAATTTGCAGAGAAGATGGCATTGGAGAATTCGGAGAGGGTTGCAGCAGAGCGTCCACACTGATGAGAAGGCATACATCACAGGTAGGAAAATGCTTGAGGCCATCTGGGATGGGAGAGAGCCCTATGTGACTAGTTTCGATGAGGATCAATACTGAGGATTGAGTCGGCAGTGTTTCCCTCGAATGAGAATGCCACACTGAATTTGTTGGACTTGATTCTGCCATCGTTCTTTGGAGAGGGTAATGCTGCGCAGACTAGAATTTAGAAAGATAACAGACAGGACTAGGAAGGATCACAGGGGGCTGAAAGGGGTGTAAATGCTGTGACTTCACTATGCTAGACAGGGGGTAATACATTCCTGAATCAAAAAAAGGAAATGGGTGGGGAAGAACTCATCTGAGAAAAAGTATAGAAACAGAATCAATAAAACTCTGTAACTAGATTTAAGGGCTAAGGATGAAGAAGCAAGAAGAGCACAGGCAACAGGCAGGATGCTGGTGAAAAGAACAGAGAGAGAAGACACAGTAGCAACTATAGTCCGGATAATAAAGACCCCACCAGAGCTGTCCCCGTTGAGTCTGTGATGCTGTCAGGATTCCCAGAGACACGTGTGTGGAGCAAGGCCTGGTGTTTGGCACAGAGTGGCGCTCCTGCAGTGACTCTGGAAATCCCACCAGCGACAGCTGAAGATGTGACAAGGAGAAACCTAGACAAGGGAGTGGGCACATGACAATCACAACAAAAACAAAGGAAACCCCCAAAAGGTGGGAATCAGCAGTGAAGACACAGGAGAGCATCAGAGACCAAGGAAGAAGGGTGTCCTGTCAAGTCAAATGTGGACACATTTTCATGGCCTCCAGATTTGGCAGTTTTGTCATTTGAAAAGAATCTTCTTTAGTAGAGAGGGGCTGATGTCAATTTTAAGGGTTTTAGGAGTAAGAATGAGGTCAGGAGATGGTAGAAGCCTTTGGCAGAACAATTGGTCAAATATATTTTAAGGGACTTCCACTTCCAGCAATAAGAAGACACAGTAGTCTAGAATTAACTTCCTATCCTAAGCAACTAGAAAACTAGTCAAAACATAGAAAACAACTATTTTCAGCAGAAATTGGGGGCCAGGATGGCTAAGACTGTAACTCCTGAGAAAAGGAAATAAAGAAGGGGTACCCCATCATCACCTCAACTTTCTGGGCACTGCAGTGCAGGGAGCAAAATGAAACCACACTGCAACAGAGGACAGAATTCTGAAAGTGGGAGGCTAATGTGGTCAGCACCTTTAGACAGACGACCTGAAAGGAGAGAGCTACACAGAGAAAGAGCTCCAGAAATCGGCACGCGTCATCTTCAGTCTTTGATTCCTAGCCTGGGCATGAGTAAGAGAAAAATCCTATAAGCCCAGACAAGAACAACTTCTGTGAAAAGAATAATTACCAGGTGGCCGTAAGATGAACAACCATGGGCACCCTGACAGTACCCAAGCAGAGGAAGAGGCTGCATTGACCACACGGGCTGAATATCCTGGGTATTCAGTCAAGGAGGGCTATGACTTGGAAATGGGGCTAAATTAGGCCTTAGGATGACGGTTACTCTGAAATTGGTCCAAAAAAGATTAAAAGGTAATTTAAAAATAAAGGATTAGCATGTAACTTGACTGCCTGCCAGGGAAGCGCCAACACACACACACAAAATAATGAAGCCAGGTGTGCTGGTACACGCCTGTAGTCCCAGCTACTCAGGATGCTGAGGTGGGAGGACTGCTGGAGCCCAGGAGTGTGAGGCGGTAGTGAGCCACCGCACTCCAACTTGGGCATCACAGCAAGAGCCTCCTTCCAAAGAAAAAAAAATTAATTAACAAAAAAAAACCATGGAACCTAAGCCCTCAGTAATACAAAATGTATAATGTCTGACATCCAATAAAAAAATTATTAGATATAGGAAAGAAGAGAGAAATGTGATCAGGAGAAAAATTAATCAATAGAAACAGACTGGCCAGACACAGTGGCTCACCCCTGTAATTCCAGAACTTTGGGAGGCTGAGGTGAGTGGATCACCTGAGGTCAGGAGTTCGAGACCAGCCTGGCCAACATGGTGAAAACCCATCTCTACTAAAAATACAAAGATTAGCTGGACATGGTGGCGGGCACCTGTAATCCCAGCTACTTAGGCAGGAGAATTGTTTGAACTTGTGATGCTGAGGTTGCAGTAAGCAGAGGTCATGCCACTGCACTCCAGCCTGGGCTAAGGACACTCCATCTTAAAAAAACAAAACAAAACAAAACAGAAAGGACTTTGATGACAGAATCAGAGAAAAAAGAACTTTTCAAAAGGTGCTTCAAATACATGCTAAAGAACATAAAGAAAAACAAGAACATAAAGAGGAAAGAAATGAAAGATACAAATATTCTGACGGTACCAAGGAGGCTTGGGATAGAGTAAACAATTCATTGATTAGATCGAAAGACAACTAATACTGGTTACATTGTTTCATTGCTAGATACAGAAATTGGCAGCATTCTGACTCAAAATGATGTATACATTGGACCTCTCATAAGAATGGGAAAAGTATAGTCATCCTCCTTTAAACCATAACTGTTTAAAAAAAAAGTTACAACTAAGTACTACTAGACTCCCATTTTTTTATATTCGACTATTACATCATTCAAAACAATGTAACCCGTACTTTGTACCCTTAGTTAACTGCTTTACGGTAGTCCTACACATTTTTAGGCATCTGCAACCACACTAGGCACCTTCCTTTCTAGATCACGTCACATACCAGTTGTCTGCAGTTCTTTGATGCAACAAATTTCCAATGACTGATGAAAGACAATCTGTACTTTATCCCTTAAGATGGGTATATATATCACCAAGAGCTCGGAAAATGGATTATTCGAGATAAAACATTTTGCTAACAACTTTCATGGTTCACTGGCAAAGAAAAGAAGGCCTATTAGCTTGGCACTCCAGATATGGCCTTGCCCATATGGCAAAAAAAAAAATACCAGATTTTTCAAAAGTCAATCAAACCATTCTGGCCTATTAAAATAAACAGCATGGTCAATAAAACTGGTGGTGTTATTTAAGTCCGTCTGTTATCCTCCCAAAAGACTGGAAGAACATTACTATCAGAAATTGTATCTGGATTTCTCTTTCAGCCCCAATAGCTTTTAACACAGATCATGACGCATGGCAAGAACATATTTCCTAAATATAAAAATCAGGACACAGCTGACATATGGCCTAACAATAGGACAAAAAATGGAAATACAAATGAATATAATGAGGCTCACAGAGGTCAAATAACTTGCCCAACATCCAAGTAAATGGCAGAGCCAGGATCTGAATCCAATGCCACATGGGTCTGTCTACAATAGCAACTCCTGGCACTGGCACACACCTGCACACACAGGTAGAATGATGGCTGTGAAGCAGCAAAGGCGGGCTGCGATCACAAAGGCCCAGTGAAGAGACAGTGTACTGAAAACTGCTTCCAGGAATCCTGAAGATCATCATAAGCAAATAATAGTATTAAAACTCATACACAAAGCAAGCCATGTTAACTCTAACACACACACACACACACACACAAAGTGCTAGAAAGCACTATCAATAAATATTCCAAAGGTAAGCAAAATGTGAAGAGTAGCGTTGGTTAAACAGGGACTGGTAATTTTCTAGTCCAATGAATGTACTTACACTTCTGAATACATATACATCTGCCAAATTTTTTCATAATTTCTAATTTAAAAAATCTTTTTAAAGAAACAGGCAGTTCATTATGTTGACCAGGCTGGTCTCAAACTCCGGGCTTCAAGCAATCCTCCCACCTCAGCCTCCTAAAGTGCTGGGATTACAGGCATGAGCCAGCATGCCCAGCCTGCATTTACCAAGCTTTTAAGGACAGAAATTTATTTCTTAACATTTAACAATTTTTACTCAGCATCAAAACTGGCACAGATAGTGAAAGTTAATATGCACTTTATACAAACTATTTAACATGGTTATAAAAGACAGACATGCAGCATTTCATAATCTGAAAGAAACAAAAAATACCTACGTACGCATTTATCTATTTTCTTTTTTTTTTTCTATTTATCTATTTTCTTTTCTCATTGCCAGCATCAGCCGGTCAGAATTCCAGTCTGTGCTGGGTATATTTTTATGTTTTAGATTAGCTACTCCCCCAAAAAACCTAAGATACAACTGCGTGTTCAAAGAGAGGTACCTGGAATTTTGGCTTTCAAGAAGTTCCAATCAGATGTCCCCCACCCTGCATGGTCTGTCTCTGGCTTTGATCTGATAATTCTTCTTCTTAAAATGCACACTTTAAGAAGAAGAATGGCTCTTTTCTGCACAAGCATCCTATTAATCTGAGGGTTCATCTCTCAACTTCTCTGCATCAGAGCCATACTCCCTAGGTGGCAGCACAGACGCCTGGGACAGCAGCCACTACCTGAGTCCACCAGGCATGCTGCACATCCAAGGCCACGTGCTAGGCTACATCTAAAGTAACTAGAGAAATATTTTGAAAATAAGGTATATGCACAGATAGTGATCTCATCTGCTGAGCACGCCACACACAAGATGCTTTGTTCTTTCCAATTGATGGCATAGTCTAAGAATGTGGCCAAACTATGTACTTCCTGCCTGCTGCATACGATAAATCCACACTTTAACTCTAAGAACATATGAAACAGAAAACTTACATGTTATTATCAGCAATTTAAAGGATTAAAGAAAACTGTCTAAATACATACACCGACACATACACACACACACACATGTGCACACACACAGAGCCTTCCACAGCCTAGAACTCTTAGCTTTAAGTACAGTTTAAAAAAAAGTTGGATCAATTAGTAGCCTTGTGAATGTTGGAAACATCTTAACAGTGTCTCAGAGATGAAAGAGCATAATACAGAATGAGAAGAAGAGGGAAAGTTAAATTATGTCTGCAGTCATAATGAATCAAAGCCCAGAAGGAGGTCTGCAAATCAGCAGGTTCTAATGAAATATTAAGGTAAGTGATTATTGATGAAAAATGAATAAGGCTTTTTGATTTCAGCAACCTTTAGATCACACCTAGCTAATTAAAACAACTCAAATGTATTCATTTATTCCTTGATGGGCATTTAGCTATCCTTGGGTATAGAGAGACTTCATTTTAGGAGGTATGTATGCAGCTGACCCCAGGTAAGTAGACAAAATGTGCCAGAAAAGACATACTCAGTAATAACATTTTGAAAAGTAAGCCTGTTTTCAGATTTTGTGTATCATTTCCGAGCTGGAAATAATAAATAAAAAACACTCAGGACATTTCCTGTTTACCATAAAGAAACATCAATAATAGTATACTACATATTTATTAACATGGAACTTACTTTAATTAGCATATAATGAATACAGGCATTTATAATACTACATTATGCAATTCTACAGCAGATGTTATTTATGTATACGGTAGAGCTCTTGAAGACGGCCTTATCATTCCCCTCTACACTTCTAGGAGGAAAGCAGTTTTCTCTTAAGAGCGAGAATTATCCAGGTTGCATCACAAGCTCTGGGAGAATCTGACTCCAGGCCTGAGGCCTTCACGATCTTCAGTCACATCCTCTAATATCATAAACCTCTTCCACCTTAGTCTCCTGCTATAGAAATTAATATTTGGCTATTCAAGTGACATACTACACCAAGCTGGGCATGGTAGATCATGCCTGAAATCCCAGCACTTCGTGAGGCTGAGGCAGGGGATCATGAGGTCAAGAGATAGAGACCATCCTGGCCAACATTGTGAAACGCCCTCTCTACTAAAAATACAAGAAAATTAGCTAGGTGTGGTGGTACGTGCCTGTATTCCCAGCTACTTGGGAGGCTGAGGCAGGAGAATCACTTGAACCCAGGAGGTTGAGGTTGCAGTGAGTCGAGATTGCGCCACTGTACTCTAGCCTGGCGACAGAGCAAGACTCTATTGGAAAGAAAGAAAGTAAGAACCTAAGGAAGTAAGGGAGAAAGAGAGAGAAAGAGAAAAAGAGAGAAGGAAGGAAGGGAGGGAGGGAGGGAGGAGAGAGGGAGGAAGAAAGGAAGAAAGGAAGGAAGGAAGGAAGGAAGGAAGGAAGGAAGGAAGGAAGGAAGGAAGGAAGGAAGGAAGGGAGGAAGGGAGGAAGGGAGGAAGGGAAGGAGGGAGGGAGGGAGGGAGGGAGGGAAAGGAAGGAAGGAAGGGAGGGAAAGGAAAGGAAAGGAAAGGGAAAGGGAAAGGGAAAGGAAGAAAGAAAGAAAGAAAAGAAAGGAGGGAAGGAAAGACTCACTACACCTACTAAAGATTAAGATGCTTCCTAATTACAGAAGTTAATCAAATGTCCATAACCATGCCCATTTTAGCAGCAGTATGTAATAAAGAGGTACAGACATCAGTTGCAGCATAAAATACAATGGTGAAAAATCTAGCTTAAGTGTTTACACATAAAAGATGCTAAAATAATATACAGAATTCAATATCATACCCATGCAAAAACAATCTCTGAGGCAAATGTTTTAGCTTCGAAATGTCCTTAGAACTCAAGCATAAAGACGATGGTGATGATAGTGGTGGCATCATACTAATAATAATAGCAACTAACACTTAGGGGGCTGCTCTATGCGCTGGCAGTGTTCAAGGTACCTGCAGTCATTCGTGTCATGCTCACAACAAAACCCCAGTGAGGTATGTGTTATCATCCCATTTTACAGATACAAGAAGGAGGTTAAATGGCAGCACTGAGATGTGAACTTAAGCAGGCTTGTGCTCTTAACACCTACATCACGTCTTACCTTATCACCTTACGGTACGGGCTTGTACCAAATCCTCTTTTTCTTCCCACCCCCCAAACTATGTAAGGTCTATGAAACCTGTAAGAATTATAAGTTTAACATACAATAAGCAAAAGGGACTTTAACAGTTAAAATGTTTAACTACATTTTGCTGACAGAAATTCCAGGTTTCTTTTCTAAGACAGGCCCTCTCTGCTTCTACACAGCTTACAGTTTTATTACACATACGTCCCATAAACCGTCTTTGCTGTGCTGATGAGGAGTTTGGTTTATCCATTCCTGAATTTATTGAACATATTTGAATGCCTGTGTGCCAGAACTTGGAATACAGCAGTGAAGAGACAACCGCCCCCAACCCCTGGCTCTAAAATGCAATTTCCTTCTAGTTGGAGAAGATGGAAGATAACATTTTAAAAGTGCATTTATGCCACATCATAATACCATAAGCACTAGTAAGAAAAAGAAAGCAAGGAAGGGGGTCAGGGTGTGCTGGGGAGGGGAGAGCTGCACTTTTAAATTATCCCTGTATCGTCACATCAACTAACCCCAGTCACCCTGTGGTGGTGCTGCCTGCCTGCCCCCAGCTGCTATGCTGTGAGGACAGAGCCAGGCCCCTCAGAGGCAGCTGAGGTCCCTACAGGTGTGCGCTACTGAGAGCGTGACATTCCATGCAGAAGCACTTGTGACTCACTCCCTCCTAAGGACAGAGGCTCCTGTGACATCCCAGAATTTGACTAGGATGCCAACCAACTTGTGTGCTGGCCTTCTCCCTTCCCAACTGCTCACCTTGGAAGTCACACAGGAAAACTTCAATGCTGGTGGACATGGGCAAGCACTGGCAGAGTCCAGAAAGGGGTCAGGAGAGACAGTCCACGGAAAAGGGTGCCACCTGTCTGCACACGCCTGTCTCTATGGTGATGGGGAAATGGCAGAGGCCCTTGCTGATCTGTGTTTCAGCCCTGGATCATCCTGAGACAGGAAAGTTTATCACCAGTGCCTGCAGGAAACATCATTGTTCATTTTACCACTATTCTGAGATACAATCTCTGTGAATATATATGTATATGTGTGTGTGTGTGTGTGTGTGTGTGTATGTCTACATACACACACACACACACACACATATATATGCATAGTCATTTGACTTTTAAACATTCTCAAGAACGGGCTAGATATAGAAGTGGGGAAATGATGCTGTCCTGCCCTTGCTGTAAAGGAAGTCATAGTGAACAACCAGAAAACCACCTGTCCTTTTAAAAACCAGCTGACATACTGTTTCAGTTATAAATGGGTAGGATGTTGGAAACTGTGAACCTGTTGGTCTGCAACAGTAGTCAGCAAGAATAACACTACATTTATATCCAGTTTGCCTTGATTAGTATAAAAGCTGAAAATCTTATCAAAAAACCAGGACAATTCAAAGATGCGCTGGTCTTTACAAGAAACTGGGAGAGCAGGTTTTAGATTTGGCTGTTAAAAAGAGAGACTAATGGAACTCTCCCAGATGCAAATAAAATTCCTTACAAATAAATATCAGAAGGAAAGTGTGGACTCAATCACGACTTTATGATGTTTTCTGTGTCTCTGAAATGGCCTAGTAAGACAGTCTGTGTCTAATAGGTGCTCAACAGGTACTGTCCCTGACTCACATTAGTTCCTTTACCCGATGCTCCAGCAAAGCCTACAGGCCCTAGCAATGCTGTAAATCATGTCATTGATAGTCATGAAAGGCCAAACCAAGAATGCTAAATTACCCCAATGCTTAAAACTATATTAAAGACATCGGTATTCAAACAGACCTACTCTGGATCCGATCCATATGGGCATGGTCACCACCCACTGTGACGAGCCATGGCACTTGAGACCTAGAAGCCATCTAGTTGCTACCATGGAGGGTCTGTAGCATCCCTTCATGGCCTGGCTCTCCTTCAGTGTCCCACAGGTCTTAAGGCCTCAGCTACCTGAGGTTTCAGGACGTCATAAAGATTTCATTAATTTCTGAAATCCCACTGATACTTTCAAAGAATCAGACCATTCAGGGAAGACACAGCGGTCTGCCAGTGGCTTTTCGGGGCAAGAGGTATCTAGGAACTTTCATAGATAAGTGTTCATCATATTTAACATTTACCAGGTAGACCTAAGTCCAGTACCTTAACTAGGTGCCCTGTCTGTCAAAACTAGGTCAGCATGTTGTTACTCATAAGTGGGACCTTAAAAATGTGGACGCATGGAAGCAGAGTGTGACATGACAGGCAGCAGAGACTCGGAGGCATGGGCATGGGAGGGAGCTGGATGATGGGAGGTAGCTTGGTGGGTACAGCGTACACACTGTTCCAGTGATGGGAGCACTGAAGGCCCTGACTGCCCACAATATGGTATACCAATGTAGCAACACTGCACTTGTACCTGATGAATATAAACAAATTTTTAAAATTTTAAGATAAAGTTACATTTGTTATAAAATCTATGATCTCTGTTTTTGTCATTATAATTGTGTAATCAACACTTAAAAATATTGAAGAAAGTGTGTATTAAAATCTAGGTAGGTACACACACATACACACACACACACACACGTATATAAATTTAGCTCTTTCCCATTTAGAAATTCAGGATGCAGCTCAAGCACACCACCCCTTAGAAGCCCATCTTTCCTCGACCTGAGTCAATCTCCTTAGCATCCTATTCAATGCTTATCACTCTGTACACAACAGATTGAGTATGGTCTGCTATGGGATACCAGGTGGGAGGACCTTGAGGGGTGAGCAGGTCTTATGCATTTCCACCCCAGGCATCTACCACAATTCTTGGCCCACAGTCACCTCCAATTTGTGAGGAAGTGAGAGATCAGTCACAAAGGCTGCCAGATACACAAGCAGACAGATGTGTAAAAGAACTTTGGGCTTATGCAAAGACTTTAAACCCCTGACTGTTTCACAGAGCTGAAACATACAGACCAAAGGAAAAAAGGAAGTAAAAGAAAAGAATAATTAGAAGACTTTATCTTCAATCAGCTTTAGTTTTTGTTACAAAGCAGGTATTTTTTAAATTATGCTAATAGCCTGCAAAACCCTCAGAACCCTCCCCCACAAACTCTATTGCATCCAAATTCTAATAGTTTATGATTTGAATCATTTTTTAGGTCTCCCTCATTTCTGCCCACAGAACACACAGTGACTTTGTGAAATACGGAGAAAACCCTCATTCCTCAAGACACTTGACTACCAACTGCCAGAGCAAAATCACCGGAAGTGTTCCAATCACGCTGTAGTTTTACAGCACCCCTTGGAGTTGTATCATCTATAACTTGCTCAGCTGGTACTCTACATCCCAGCACACCCCAATTCCATCTACCTCCTGCCCTTCCCTTCTTTAAAAATCCTAGGTAACATTACAATTAAAAACAAAGGTGGAATTCAATTTTTATTTTACCACTGCTCTGCCTTCTAAGTAGCTGATGCAGGTTCAGTGTATTATATAACTTTCAAAACACTAAAAAATTATTGCTTTTCAAACTTTGTGTCTGGCAATGAATGCCCTGTTAAGCAATCAAAGCAGAGGCCAAGAAAAGAGGAAAAAGATATCTGCTATGTGGTTGTTATGCAGATTTATCTGGAAGAAACTGTTTTCAGGTCATGATAATCAGTAAATTCTGAAATGGCAAACTTTTTTCCTTTTAAATAACATTTTTCTTCAAGAAAGGTGACACACTCTTATTTTAAAAATATATATTCAAGCCAGGCATGGTAGCTCATGTCTATAATCCCAGCACTTTGGGAGGCTGAGATGGGTGGATCCCAAGGTCAGAGGACATGGTGAAACCCCATCTCGAAAAAGTAAATAAATAAAAAATATATTTTCACAATTCCAGAATTATATGAAGTCAACATGAAACGATAGCAGTATTTTTCACAGAGATGATTTATAATTATTTTACATGCTTTTGAAAATTTATAAAGAAACTTACTTTTCCACTATTAAGCACATTTTCTCCTATATAAATTTATAGTATAAATAAGATTTTAGGGGGATTCATCTGAAAGAAACTTAGAATAACTATTTTCTATTCCAATGGTGTTGGAATCAACACATGAATCTCATCAAAACAAAATTTAAGCAAATCTGATCTACCTCAAAATTGGAATGAAAAACAATCTATGATAGAGTTTAAAAAATAAAGATTTACTAACTGAAGCACAGTAAGCCTTTCATCTGAGTTGCTGGATACATTTCAAAGTTCAGAATATCAGATCTTTGAACATACTCACTAATTCAGACTTCATATTGTTTCCTCTACTTATATGAAAATTATCAATCAAGTCCAAGCAGTGAAGCTTTTGTCTGAATTTGTGTACACCCAGAAAATCCTCTGGACTCATGAACTTGGTCATCCCCATTTCATCTGGACAGTCTGCAGCTCTGGTCACAAGCTGGGCTCCATGGGCTTTTGCTCTTTGGTTTGCTCCACACTTGGTCAGGCCCTAAACCCTGGCAAGGTTACCACCACCAGAGCAGGGCCAGGCTGGCCTCTCTTGGAGGCAATCAGGATTTTCAGTTAAAACAAAGGTCATAAAGAAGTGTAATCTCAGGCTAAGATCAGTTTCTTGCCTATGATACTTAATTTACATTTATAGTCTACAAAACCAGTTATGCTGCAAGAGACATCCACTCACCCCACCAAAAGGAATCACCTTGGAGACAACTGCCTGGTCCCAAAGTATTTTGTTTTAGTAACAGATATTTTCAAATCTCTGTATTCTTAAAGAGTCAACACAAGACCCCCTATTATAGTCTATGGAATAGAACTAGTAATGAAAGGCATAAACTGATACAGAAAATTCAGTTTAAAAAGAGATTTACAGAAATGTATATATATACTAATGTATCTTAATCCACTCCAACATTTGAATTCATTTTATGCAATATCAAATGCATATTCAAATAGTTATTACACAGCCATAGAACATATGAATTATCTAGTTACTGTTTCGTAATGATACAGAAAGTTTGTAATTTTCACATTTCTATGTATATACCTGTTTTAATGAAAAAAGCTAGGGATATATCAACTTCCTTGATTGGAAAGAAAAACAGGTATCTTTTAAAATCAACTACTGCATCTCCTTTAGTTACATAAAATCAACCAGTGGAAGAAAATGGAAGAAGAAATGAAACAACAACAAAAAGAAAGTAATCAAATAGTTATTTATACCAAGGACTTAGGGTACCCAAGGACGAGCTGCAGAACATCTGGGAAGGTAATTTAAAACTGGATTGTGGATTTAGGGCTCGATGAAGTCTCCCAAGAAGTGGAAAATGCATCTCACAACGGGGCTCCACATAAATCCTCATGAATTTTTATTAATCGTTGATTGATATTCCATCCTTATGCAGGAGCAAGGAAGAAAATAACACCAACTTAAGATCACTAAATACCAACAAGATTGGTACTTGGGTTTGGACAGGGGAACCAAGAGATTAGGTCCAAAAAAAAAGATGAGTTATCGTGCCAAATTGCACATGAAGCAGGATCTTGGAGCTTTCGTTAGAAGGCTAAAATCAAAAGAAATACTAGGCAGCTCAAGAAAATTTTGGTCATGGAATGGCCTACAGTGTCTTTAAAGACCTAAAAGTTCAGTGGCCTACGGAAAGAAACACATTAAAACAAGAGTGCAGATACTTTGCTGGAGGACTATTTGCCTGCTAACGACCAAAGTCTAAAACAGTTTTCATTTATCCCCATATTTCTGCAGAATATTTAAACTTCCTCCGAGGCTAAAATAAATATATAAATAAACAACTCCCATTACACATTACTTCCACAAACAAATTGTGGTTTCCGGCAATGTTAATCAACAAAAAGAATTAAACAAGAAGTCTTTAAAATTAGCGATGACCTTATTTATGGCTTCATTACTTTCAAGATTTCATTTGTTGGGTGGTTTATGTCACCTCAGCCTTTAATTTCATTGCTGCATCTCTAACTATATTAGAATG